AAAAAAAAACATACCGCTTTTAATTTTCGAAAAGCAACACGTGAAAAACCTGTAAAAGATTTAAAAAAATTACCGCAAATGCATTTTCAAAATAGTTGTTTTCTTCCAAGTATTTGGCATAGTTAATTATAATCTGCGGCGTTGCAATACGAAGATCAATTATTCGTTCGTATACTGCTTGACAATCCTCCAAAGTGCCGAAAGCCTCTTCAATATCGGCGCATAACGACCATACCTTAACAAAAAAAGTTACTTTACTAGTATTGTTTTAGCGACCATTGCTATACACATTTCTCTTTTAGATCACCTTTAGTGACTTGTAAACCCTAAACTGGACAGGTTCCGACTCATCAAAATAGTGACTCCTACGTGGAGGTATTGCTGTAGCACGTTGCATTAATTTTCTTGCCCGTTCTGGTTGCCTGCAAGACAATGACGTGCAACAAAAAGAAACAAAAAAACAAAAATCCTTACCAAAGAAAAAGAAAAAATATTTTTGAAAGTAAACTAACAAATAAAAATCTACTTTAGTTTCAGTTCCATTTCAACATACTCACACCAAACAGTCGCCAGATCATCGACTTTAACATAGTTAGATTGCAAACCCTTTTCGAAAGTCTCGCGAGCCTTAAATGAATATAAAAACAGCTTTATTCTAGTGAAATAACTAAAGAAACTGAAACGTAGGAAGATATTTGGTATCAACAAATCACCTTCTCAATATCTCCTTCTTCTGCATAAAACTTTGCGAATTTAATCCAGATATTTGAAAGTTTACCGGTCTGGTACTTAGGATCTACGGTTGCAACCGCTTCGTTAAAGGTCTCGATTTGCTAAATTATGAAAACTGGTACCACAAAAACGCAAAAAAAAAAAAATAAATAAATAAACAAAATAAATGAATAAATGAAGACTGTCACTTTATTTGATTAAATGTTCCAAAAGACGTAAAAAGCTGTTAATGCTACTTTTGCTTTATTGCCTTTGAATAATTCTACACGGTTTAACCACTCATGTGCATTGTGTGGATTCTGTCGCAGAAGAACGCTACTAAGCAGTAAGGGACGTCTTTCCAACAGATATTCAAATCTAAATGTAAAATTCAACACACTGTGACACTACAGATGTAACAGTGACTTTGAAAAAATACGTTTTTACTGCCTTATCAATAAGTAAAAAGAAACCAGTAAATACATTTTGTCTCATGAGCGGTAAAATTTGAAAACTCACATTTTTTTAATGTGAAAAGTCATAAGTTAGATGTTTTTTCAGAGTGCTCTCATTAGCAAACGTTAATTTCAGCGATAAGAGTATTAACTAGTAGTAACCTTGCAAACAGCAACTCAAGTTCAAGGCGTGACTCCTCGTCACTTCCTTCTTTTTCAATCATATCCATCTTGGCACATGTAGCACGTTCACTGAACCGTGAATATGCGTCGAATACTTGAGTAAAATCTCGTACAGTTTTTACTGTTACAATGGCTTCCTCGTACACATCTCGCGCCTTAAAACACACTTTTTTGTCAACCCAAATTATATGAACCAATCCAATACATCATTCTTATAACCAAAAAAACGTTTCAGCAGTAGGTCCAAATATACCTTTTCAAAACGTCCCGCGCGAATATAATACTCAGCGAGAGCACACCATAAAGAACCAACTTGGTCAGTGTACCTTAAAGAACCATAAGGTGGAAGAACCAAAAACGATATTTGAAATGATTTCGACGAGCAAAAATTGATTAAACGAGCATCGATTAAAACTTAACTACTTCTATAAGATGAGCTACTATGCAATCTTTAATGGTACCTCTGTATGCCCTGACGAATGATTGCATCAACATTTAATGAATGAACCTTATTGGGATTTTTTGATATCAATTCGCAAAGCTCTGTCCACAACTAAAACGGAAAAAAAATAATTCACAATCTTCAGTGCAATGTGAAGATGTCATTAACAACCTGATAAGTAGTTTTGCCATTTGGCGATACCAATTTGTCGTCGTTTACAAGTATTGCGAGCTGCTGACCAGCCTCGTCGACACGATCAATACCGATTAAGTAATCCACAAAATTTTCACGGTACTCAGGGAACAACATTAAGCATCTAAGGAGCAAAATTATGCAAATATTCGACGAATAAATTATGACGTAAGAAACTCTGTGGCATTTTACCTTCTATAGACCCGAATTGTTGTCTCAGGAATCTTATGGCTGGTAACAAATTTGATATACAGAGGCCAAATTCTATCATGCTGCGTAACTGGTAATGCCCTCAACGCACGATCAAACACTCTCCGTGTTGATGTAATATACCGTTGTTGTGTCATCAACTCACAGTAATCCATCCAAATCCGAGGCATCTAAAATTGCAAGAAATAGGTTAGCGGAGCCCAAAGAAAAAAAAATAAAATTTAGGTGTGGTAACAAAGTTACGCTTTACTTTATGCATGAAAACTAAGGCGCGCTCATAGACGTTGTTCAACCTTTGATAGGCAGGGTCTGTAGGGCATTTGTCAGCTACTAATTTGCGGCGAAATCGAAGATAGCTGTACCTAAAATGAAAATTAACTTACGCTCTTTGCTAATCAACTTTATTGAAAACGGTAGCAACTGAAAAAAAACATTTTAACTTGAAAAGTAACAATTTATCGAGCAACTTTTAAAAAAACGTCA